GGTATTACTGTACTTAAAATTTCTACTGTTTGACATTACTGGCACTTTTTATTAACTACATTGTCTGTTTTGCTAAACTTTACCAAAATAAATGCATGGGCCTGATGGGTGCTTGCCTGTGGGCCCCTTGAGCATAGGAGTCCCATTCTAATCTGTGTATGATAATTATCCCTTCAATGCATCTTGTATCATATATGACACATGTACCAAAGGCATATAGTTACTTCACTAATTGCTAATTTAAGTTCTTTTCTGCTTTGTATTATTCCTGATACACACTGGCACTGAACAAGTTCAGTACTTGTCACTGAGTATCAGTGTGTTTTTCAAGCATGGTATTGTTCAAACATTTATCATGTTGGTTAGTTGTTGTTGCACATGTTTTTAATGTTTCAACAATGATTTTGTTGGAATTGCCAATAAAATAAATATATATTTAATTTTATTGACCATGTACATTTTTATTCCTGTGAGTTGTTGTCATAGTGGTCCCAGTACACTGTTTAGCATTATGGGCTCAGCTTTTCCTGGGGCCCATTAAGCTGTTAAGACGGCCCTAATAAATGCAATTATTAGTTCCTTTTATTCTGTAAAAAACAATTAAGCTATTATTTTTGTTTAGACAAGGTTTAAAGAATATTTTGATGCAAATCATGAATTTTATAAAACTTTTTATATATCTTAAAGAAACTGGATTTAAATATGATAAAATACTTTTAATATATTTTTATTTACAATGAAATATGAAATTTTTCTGGGTTCTTAGGAAGATGACAGAGATAACCAGAGAGTTTTCAAACTTAGAGTGTCCAAATTAAATATAAATAAATCATTGTAAATCTAGGATATATTATAACTTATAATGTGTTTGTTTCTTCTTTTTTTGTTTCAGTGTATTTCCATGTTTACTTCATTTCTATTTTATATTTTAAACATAAGCATATTTTTTTAAGATAAGTAATATTTGTGTAACTGCCTTATTCTAAAAATGTACATATTTTTCAGTAATAAAATTTACATTATTAAATATTAATGCAAATTTACAGTATGAGTATGATTTTATGATTTAAAAATACATAATTTAATGAAAAAAATAAAAATAGTTAAAAACAAGTACAGTATAGATGATAGAGGAAAATTAACAGATAATTGTACAGAAAAAATGCTATACACTATAAAAAAATTTCAGAAAAAGGTAATGTACAAGTGACAACAGTAAACAATAACTTGTAAAAACGAAAATCATAACACAAATATAAGAAAAATTATTTAAGTAATATGAAAATTAATAAATACATAATTATGAAAAATACACTTTTGTATACTGTAAATAAAACAAAAATAAAGAGGAAGTCAAGACAGAAGTATATTAGTAGTAGATAAAGCAAACTAAACTTTATATAAATATGGCAAAATCATTAGAAGAGAAATAAAAATACTAGAATAGTTATTTTAACTTTTATGTCAATTTTTTAGGTATTTTAAAAATATGTATTTTGAAAAAGAAGTTCAATATTGACACAATATAAAATTAGAAATACTTATCACCAAATGCTAAAAATACAAGATGCAAGAACAGTTGAAAAATTATTTATGTAGTTAGAGCAACAACTATACATCTATATCTATATATATATATATGGACATGTATGTCCCTATATCTCACTTTTTCGCCAAAACTACACATCGCACGTGAATGGTGTTTGTATGTGGTGGTAGCCCCAAGTCTCCATTCGTGCATAGGGGTGGTTGCGTCTCGATAGCTATAAGGGTGCGGGAGATATGAGGCTGAAAGTGGTTGAAAGTGGCTTTCTATTTCGAATGTTTTGTTCGAATTTGTTCGAATTAAATTCGAACATAAAATTCGAATATTGGTTCGATTATAGAACGATTGTAAACGTTCCAGAAACGTTGAAAATAGTTCGTTTGACTAAACGTAAAAATTCTCTAATTAGTCTGGAAACGGGGGACCTAATTCTTGCATTCTGTGAAAATGGGTAAGATTAGCTATAATGTAATTATCTTAATCTTCACTATCGTTACTTTTTGCCCAGCGAAGCGGGTCCTTGCAGCTAGATTCTAGATTACTTAGAAAAACAGTCTTTTATATATATATAAAAAACTATACTATTACATACAAATAAAAACCCAGCAAAGCGGGATCTTGCAGCTAGTATATATATATAATTGTTAATATTGAAAGTATGATCATTCTGGATGACTTTTGAATCGAAGCATTTAATGAAATAATTAATATATTATTGTTATAATAGTTTTTTTATGTTAAGATAGAAAAAAAAAATGCAAATAACATGTGTTGTTTATAAGAAATTTTGTAAAATATTTTTATAACAATATACAATAAAGTATAAATAAAGAAATTAAAAGAAACATTTAAATATTTCACTTATATTCATGTTCTATTTTATAATAATATAGAATATTATTTTAATTGTTATTTAGGTATTATAGATATTGCAAATTCCTGTACTTAATAAATTCTGTGTTAGAGTATATTCTGAAAATAATCTAAATAAATTTTGAATTGAAATATTTGATGATATAAAAAAGACAAAACAAATATGCAAGAATAAGTGTAATTATTTGAAAATTGAGTTAATTGAAGAAGTTTATAAAAGTGATAACTTTACCTAATACAAAATGCTAATTGCATAACTTTTATGCAAACTGTTACATTCATTAGGGGAAAAATATGAGATATACTTTTCTAACACTAACTTAACACACAGAACAAATAATTTCAGCCCAATTTATCAGTTATGTAATTTTATTCAAAAAATTTCAGCTTTTAAAAGATATTTGTATTCTTTAAAATGTGATTTATATGATCTAAAATAAAAAAATATATATATTTCTTAGCACCCAATTCTGTTTTTACATGATTTTGATTTAAAACATGTGGAACAATTCAATTCTATTTTACACAATTTTAGATCAACTAAACACATCTTTAAAAAGATCTCCATTTGAATTTAATTCAAAGAAGAAAATATTTAGTTCTTTTTCTAGAAAATTGCTCTTTTTTTTAAAGAAATATTCTTAAAGTTTGAATTGAAGGCTGCTATACACTATGAAGTAAATTTTAAGATTTGACTGCCTTTTTTACAACTTATTGGAACATGTGTGGTGACAATCTTTCATTCTGATTTACTTTTCAATTGAAGCAGTCAGAAAAAAATTTAAATCAAAGTTTGATGATTTGTTTGTATGATTGTTTCTCCTGATTGTTTTCAATACAGAGCCCACCAGTGGCTAACTGAATAACACCACTGAACACCAGTAGTTTGGGACAACTTTCTATGGAAAGTTGTCCCAAAAAGCCCTATTCAGGTGTTATAACACACAAAGAAATCCTGGAAGACACCATATGACCAGATTATGGTCAGGTACAAAACCTGGACCAACTAGAAAGTTGGAAAGTTGTCCCAAAGGCACCCTTTCCAGGATAGATTGCTCATGTGTTGTGTTATCTCATCCCATCAATACAATCCAATCTTTCAATACAAAATAGTTTTTATTTTCCATTTGGTATTAAAAGCTAGAAGTATTTTGGTTTAACTGACAAAATTGAATAAAAAATAAAATTAAAGTAAAATTCATGGAAATGCAAAAGAGAAACACATATAAATCAGAAAATGACAACAAGGTGATAAACAGGTGCCATTAAGCAACTTTTCAAAATAGAAATAAATTTAATTCTCATTCAAGTACTTTCTGTTAAGTCAATTTAATTTTTGTCAGGATTGAATGAAACAGTTATTTATATCTTGAAAACTTGTTTAATAACATGTGTTTTATCACCCTGTCATTATTTCCATTCATATAAATACTATAAATTTATTACATTTAGCTGATAAGTAAGTTACAATTGTCCTCCATTGATTCATTAACTAAAACTGAAGTATTTTGTTTAAACATGTCCTATTATATTAATTGGCTTATCCTATTTTTACTGGTTTTTAAGATCTAGAGCTAATCTTCCATTTATCCATATGGACAATATCTTTTTACATGAATTTTTCAGAAACATATTGGCCATGTAAAAACAAAATTAAATGTAGTTTTTAAATAATATATGCATTTGATTAAAAAAAAAACATGTATTTTCAGATGGAGATTTTTTACATCATAATTTAATATCAATCTTTCATACAGGATTCTGAAATACAGTAAGTGTACAAATGCCAAGGAATGTTAGTGTATTGATAAAAAATATTTGTTTGTAATCACTTTAAGTGCTGAAAAGCAGTGTTTTTCAATATTTTAATCATCGTAAACCAGTAAAATTATAGATAATTTTATGTGGACCAATAATTATATGCAACAATGAATTATGTTTATTAATAAGCATAAACAGTTTACATAGAGTTATTGTATGCAACAAAGTACGTAAAGTAACTATAGATTATTATTTAAATGTCACACATAATTAACTGTGCCAGCATCAGTACTGTCAAATATTTTTCTGTAGACTGGAAAAATTTGTTTGTGGACCAGAGGTTGAAAAACACTGCTGTAGAGGCATTACTGTCACATAATGACAAGTGATAATGTCAGATGGTAGTCAGTCCATGTTGCATGATCTGCAGTTAGAGCACTATCAGTGGAATGCATGGAAAATCCAGCAAAGAGATGGCAACAGTTTATTGATTCAAAAGAAACATGTGCAGAATTCATAACAATTGTTCAAAGTGCCTGCTTTAATTTTGTTCATTATGATTCCTGTGAAGTGTTCCCTTCTCTTTGAAATGTTGATCCAGATTGAAAAATGTGCAAGTATTTGTTCAGATGTCTCACCGGAAATTGCTCATGACAAGTAGCATGCACTGCATAGTGTGCTAGCTGCTTCTAGTACATGAAACAAACTCACCAACATGCATTATGCCAATGCATGTTGGTGAGTTTGTTTCATGTAACTGCTTCATATGTAATTTTGTTCTGATCATCACAACACAATGAAACCAGTGTTTGCTACTCACCAGTACTGCATTACTCAACAAACACGAGACAAACATGGCAGAACTGAGCCCCAGGAAACAGCCAACAGGAAATTCCAATACTGTTGCCATCTGCAGTCTGATGCAGACCTAGTGTTGGTAAAAAATGTTTATTTTGATCATTCCTTTCTCAGAATATGCAGAATACTTATTTCAAAATTGTTTTGTATAATTATACAAGAATAAAACTAAACAGACCACTAAAAAGAAAGAAAAATTATATGAAACTAAGAAGTTTATATGAATTATGTTAAATTGCTTTGAAATAAATATTATAATTCCCATTATTAGCTAATAATTCCATTTGAAATAATCAAGAGTAGAAACCTTCTTAATCTGATATTATAATAAAACTCATCTACTAGATCTACAAATAAAATAAAACTTGTTCATTTTTCACACTTTTCAATTTTATTGTGCTGCAATTTGAAAAAATTGCAGATCTATAAATTCCCACCATCCATCCATCTTTCCAATCTCTAGAACAGAGTTAAATAGATGAAAGATGAGACCAGATATGGAACCCTTAGGGGCAGGAGGTCCCAATTAATTACACATGAACTTCCAATGCAAACTGAAAGTCACGTTATTATGATTAAAAAATTTTACCCTGAAAGCAGTTAATAGATGACAGGCATGACTACTGTTAAAGGAAAAGCATGATGTACAGGGACAAGACATTACTAATTTGAGGTGGAGAGAATATATTTTAAATAAATAAATAAAAAATATGATTAAAAATTGAGCCCAGCATTGTGACAATGTCTTTATTGAATATTGTTTACCTTGCAGTTTCAATTCATAAATAAATAAAGGATAAAATTATAATATATATCATTTACAAAAGATACATAAGTAATATGCCAAATCAAAATATATGCCTGATAGTTTGGCCATCAGGTTTAATTATAAAATATATTAAGCAGGATAATATGAAAGATGATATTTTATAATATCAACTACATAAAATAGTTGTAACCCTTGTACAATATGATTTCAATATGAGTTCATATGATTTCAATATTCTTATTCAAAGACAATTAGAAATTTGTTTGGAACCATATAAGACAGTTAAAAAACAATTGCAAAAAAGCACTCACTGGACTCAACCAATTTCTGGAAGACTAAACCAGCAGAATAATCCAAAGTAGAAAGTTATAGCATGTTCAAAAGGTTTCAAGTGATAAAGACATCTGACCATTGCAAATAAAGAATATTGATGAAATGTTTTTTTTGGAAGACAATAGTGAAGACTATAGTACTAAGATTTATTTTTTGTGTGCAATGAAAGATTGTTATTTACAATTCTTTATTTTATGAAATTTTTTATAAGCTTACTTTTGTTTTGTAATTCATGTTTTTTTAATGAATTTTCTTAAATAAAACTGTTTGTTTTAGATGATAGATAAAATTTATATTAAAAAAATTGTTTTGGAACATAAACCTATAATACTTTTTATATGTAATGTGAGTCTGATATAATGCAATTTTTATAATGCAACATTTCTGTGGAATCTAACCACTATATTATATAAGGATTATCTGTATATCTTTTTTAATAAGTCATTACATTTATCATAAATAAAATTAGAATTAATTTTACTATTAAAGAAAAGCTTTTTTTATTAAGACATTTTTAATTATAAAAATTTTCAATAATTCTCTCTCAGTATAAAATTTTTCATTGAAATTATAATTTCCAATATTTTTGAGCAATTTACTACAAATGAATGTTTTAAAAATTTTAAATTCAATGCAACATTTACAAAATGTATAATTTTAGTAAACATTTAAATTAATCAGACTTAAATATTAAATTGAAAATATGAATTTCAAAAACGAAACATTTTTTTAATACACTTTGAAGAGAAACTTTTTCATTTGAAAATAAAAATTACCCTTTTTTCCCCTCAAAGTGCAAATGAAATACTCACTTTTTTAAAACAATTTGTTTTATTCTGTTTTGAAATTTTCTCAGGATGTAGTTTATAAACATCAAATTAGAAATATTCTTATTCATAATTTTTTATCAGTAATTTTCTAATGCTGATATATAGTATTTTATTAGGTACTGGTACATAATAAAAATTGTTTTATATGCATAAGTGACTGCAATTTTCATTTCATTAAAATTATAATTGTACATATTGAAAGGAATAAATTTGACGAAAAAATATAATAATGTTTTGATATTAGAAATCTTCCAATATATTTTAAGCTGAATATAAAAATGAACAGATTTATCTTGTGAGAATTCCAAAAATTCAATTAAACTTAACATATGTAGTATAATATGAATTTTTTTAAATGACATCATCTCAGTTTAATAAAATATTTGAATTTGAATAATTTTGAAATTAGTTTTTAAAAATTATATTATTAAAATTTTTATATTTTAAAAAGTAATAACTTTGGCTAATAAATTTGGGTAAGCAGTTAAAAGCCAAAAAGTATTTTGCGGAGCAACATTTGATTGTTACCAGATTCTTAAAGCTCTCTTCGAATAGCACAAACAAACAAACAACTTAGTTTACAAAAATTAGAAAGTGAACTTTTTGTTATTAAGTTACTGTAGACTTCTGCACTTTAGCATCACTTTTCTAATAGAGACATATTAAATATAAATAATTGTATCTAAACTGTTGTTTGTTTACTTTATTATTTTTTTATAAGAAATTATGGATTTTCTTTTAAAAAATAATATATATTTGCTCTAATTTTATTAATGTAAAAAAGAATAAATATTGATATTCACATACTTACATTTTCCAATTTTTAACATCTAATCCATCTTTCAGAAAGTGTGTTCTAATTACAGTCTCATTACTTGCTTTAAATGCAGACTCGAATGATTCTTGTTTATGTTAAGTGAAGACAAAATATTTTGTATGGTATCTATTGAAAAAAATTTAGAAATATAAAAACTCTTCAGAAAAATAAAAACTTCTAGTAGTAACTGCAACTAGAGAATTAAAATAATACTGTATAATTATTCTGTTTATTTGCAAATATTTTAAAGTTTCTGCCCATTTTATTGAAATATAGCATGTATTTTTATAAGAAATTTCAAAATTCTAATTAGCATCACATTAGCTTCAAGTGAAGAAATTTATTATTATTAAAAGATTTAATGTCTAAATATAATACTTCTTATGTTTTACTATTTACAATTAAAAGGTTTTGAAAAAGAAGAAAAATTATAATTAAATAGAGACTTACAGCATTAATAATTTTTTACGAGAAAGTTTTGTATATTGGAGGATGATAGAAGTGTACTAGAGATAAAACAATATATATTTAAAAAATAGAACTTACCGGGAATATGAAAGAAGAGGTTTAGAGTCCGGGAAGGTAAGTTTAATAAAAGAGTGAATAGGCATTGCTCCTTGTTTCAGTATCGCGGGAGTAGAGTTGGTTTGGCATCGTCATAGAGCGCCGCCTGGAGGGACGCCAGCGTTAACCAATAGCGAATGGAGACGATTCGACGCAGTCCCGCAAGCAGCGAGGCTCCACCCACGGCAAAACACAACGTAGCCAAGCTTTGGGTCGTGTGGACTCGCTGCTTCCTGCGATCACAACCCATAGGAATATTCTGCTTCGGACCGGGAAATATTATATACGATCGATAATCAGTATTACGAACAAATTTCTGCCAGTGAAAAGTTGACGTCCGTAGACTATCGACAGCCATTACGGTGGAGAGAAGTGTATTATGACGACGTCCACCATGTCGTGTCCAGCCTACTGGAGGTCGGCGTACGTTCCTCTCTAGTTGTGTGCCACTATCGATCCGACCAACGCCAGCTCCAAACGACGACGTACTTCTGCCTGCTTGTCTCCCCGGAGGACGGCAAATCGGGTCCCCCTCTCTGTCGTCCCCTTCGTCTCGTTCGCCTTTTTATCCCACGGAATCTAATGGTGATGGTGGTAGTGTGTGGCCTTGTGTGGTTTTCTATGTGACGACGTTATTGTGGATAAAAGCTCTGTCGGTGTATCTTGGAGTGCGCGTTGTATATATCACGGATCGCCAGTTTTGCATTTAATATTCTTGTTTCTTTATATTTCTGTATATTTGATATATATTGTGTGTGTTGGTGTGTTGGACAACGAGTGTGCTGAATGCATCTTTTCATCTTCCATGGTGCTGGCCAGCATTGACAGCACGGAGTCCGAGCAGCGCAGGAGGCAGCCGTCCATGGATGCCCCCGAGAACACGGTGCTGCTAGCCAAGCAGGCGGACTGGACAAAGGGAGAACAACAGCTTTACTACCTGGACAGCAGTAGGTTGAAACGTGAGTACATTTCTTTCCTATTTCGTTACATTTCATTTATTCTAACGGCTATACGGAAATGCCCAACCGATGTAGATAAGTGTGGGGGTAAAACTCATCAGCTGTTGTAGTCGTGTGCTAGGGGAGGGGGCGTTTGCTAAACGCACGTGATACTATGTTTTCTTCTTTTACTTTAGCACCCAACATTTGCCAAACTTATTTTTATCCGTTAATCTCACCATTAAAGATGACTTATTTTGAAATCCAATCGAAAACACGATAGGACATTGAGGCGTAGTAACAACAATAATGGCGTCATTGGACTCTGAGACCAGGCTCACTTGTCGATTTTGATTTGTGTCCAGATGATTATATTAATTAATATCGCGTTAATTAATCTTCCAAGGGTAAATCGAGAGACGGACAATGACGGTTTCTATTTTTAACTAACGCGCCCGACCTTTATACTTTAATAATATTTCGTATAAAAAGTGCAAACTTTCGTACGAAAGAGTTATATTTGGCCCATGCCAATTTATTCCACCATTCTTACGTATTAATACGTCTGATTGATAGGCAATGTTTATGCTATTATATCAAGCGTTCTCGGGGCGACTGGCGTAGCATCTGGTGCGCCATGTCTATCCGCGTGACGTCACAACCGCTGTAAACACTGCTGCGTCGTTGTTCGTTTACCCCGCGCACGTCACAGACTGCAGACGGTCTTCCTACGTCACCAGTGACGTTGCTATCAGTGTTTTTCGGGCGACGGGAGGTGAAGACAGCGGTTTCGAAAGTTGATGTCCGTGGTCTATCGATTCTCTGGGATGCCCTCTCCGAGATGCTGGCCTAGATCCACTGTAATCCCTCGTTTTGACGTCGTACCGACTCGGATAGCCTGGTGGGTTACGTAATCCTCACTTCATCTACCTGGCTAGACGTTTCTGTTAATCGGACATCTTCTAAATTGATATATACAATTTTATACTTCACTATTTCGGTTTTTCTTAATAACCAATGAAGATAAGCTTTGAAAATAAGTTTCACAATCACGTTTTTAACAAATTTATAAGTATGGATAGGCCAGTGACTCACCGGACGGTATTGACAACCGATAACTTTTATGTACTGTACATTCTTTCTTCTCAGTTTACATTACATGCACTCTTAAGTGAGATTTCGTGATAATTACATAGATTTGAAATAAAATTCTTATATTTTCTCAGTATAGAATTCTTTCACTTATAACATTTCAGTAGGAAGTGCCATGTTTGTCAACGTTAAACAGCGGTGAATTTTATATAATGGTGAATGCTACACGATATCGGATACCTTTAAATTATTTCGAAAATTCTATTTAAATATGTTTAATAAAGTGCGGGGAATAATTATGAACTTGTGATTTGCACGGTTTCCTTCTTGAACACCGAAACTCTAGTTTATCGATTATTACAAGTTTATTTGTTCCGTTACCAAAACAAGATTGCGTCATTGGAGCTATGATGACGTCTGAAATATACAGTCATAAAATATTTTATTTCAACACATTGAAGGAATATTTTTAAGATCGATACGGCCACGGTTTCACACTTATTTTAAATTTGTTAGATGAGACTGGCTGATCTTCCAAGGTCAAAGTATCTAACGGTATCTGAAAGTACAGGTGGTGCTTCATGTCACATGATCAAAGACTAGTCACGCTGGCGTCGTCTTATATTTGTAGCGCCGTTTACCTATACGCAGCTGAGAGCTTTTCTATACAGGTGATGAATGTAGTGGGACATGCCGAGAATAATGAAACTTAATCGAATGAATGAATTTATCAAAATCTGTTTGTAGTTGGCCTCTTTAAATTTAGAAATATGAGACATACGCGTAATAAATTTGTCTCGGTGACAAAATCTAAAATGTTTCTATAATATTTTTTTCCTTACAGAATTTCCGTCTCATTAATTATTTTTCTGTAAATGAATACGTTTTTTTAGCGTTATCGCTTAAAATTGCTTCTGTTACTTTGTAGTTTCATATTAATGAAGAAGAATTTCATATTCCGAATGTCGTATATAACTTATTATTCCTGTTTTAATAATTACTTACTTGATTACAATTTATGATTTTGTTGTGTTTTATTTTTGATTTTGCCGGTATAATTGTGACATTTCTAGTATTGTGAGTCAGTTCTATACCTTCCCTGCTGTAATGCTATAAGAGAGACGATGATGGTTACGGGGGAAAAAAACCTTTCGTCTGTCTGCCATCGACCCGTCAGCCAACAGCAATAGACTAGTTGGCGTGATAAAGTCCAGACAGACGGCGGATGTGGTCAGTTAATGGCCGGAGGGTGGAATGACCATCGAAGACAATAGTTAACACTGTACTTTGGGATTCCCTACCGCTAATTTAATGCGCATAGTTCGGTAATATAAAATGCGGTTAAACAATTCGTACGTATTAATTTGCATAATTATGCATATAAGTATAATTAAATTTATAATGATTTCGAATTAGTTATCAAGTTAGAGCTTTAAGAGCATTGCCGGATTGATGACTGGACTCTTCTTGTGCGAAGACTACAAGAGAAACATCAGTCAACTTGATCTAAATGATATCTAAAAGCAATGGCGCATATATTCTATTGTCGGAAATTATAATTTTGGATTAATTTGCTGTATATGTTGCTCGAAGTATGTTGATGGCCGGTTGCATAATAACGAAACTTGTGTACGAGGATAATTATATAGTAACTAGGCATGAAGTTTATCTTAATAAATGGATATAGCATTATGCCAATTGAATTAATATGGTAGTTTAAATGAAATAAATAGATATTCAGGACTCTTGCGGTTTATCTTGATAGCATTTCTCATAACTTTACATTATTGAAATGTTTTCGTTTTTCATTCAAAATTCTAAAAATTCTTTGTAGCTTTATTGGAAATTCTCAGCTGGTACCTCGAATTTGCCAAAATATTTAAATTTGGCAAATAAAATTGAACATTTTTCATGAATATCTGTATATTATTAAATGTATTTAGTATTTACTTTCTCATTATATTTTAAAGTATATTTAAATTTTATGGAAAATTTTATAGGATTTTCACTCTATTATTTTATAACGTATAGACTTTATATCGGTTATGAATTTAGGATATTCTGTAAGTTTAAAAAGAATTATTTAAGAGTTTTCTTTATTTTAAAAATTAATAGAAAATTTTTTTTTTCATAATTATATATTTACGATAACAGTACATATTGTTATTGTTATATTTATAAACAAACATCATTCGTATGCTGATAGATAAATTTAATTAAAAATTTAAGTTGTTCATTATTTTTTATTGTTATAATTTGTTTTAAAACATAGATCTGATTTTAAAAACATTAATGCAGAATTTCTAATGAGAATACATTTTTAGAAATCATAATGAAAATGAGGAATTGTTTCATTTCTTGATTAAATATAAATGACTATTACATCCGACTTTTAAAAATATAAACAATAGCTTGTCTGCACCACTCCTATAACACTGCTCTAGATTTATGAAATGACTCATAAGTTAGAAAGCAGAATGATTTGTTTTAGATTTCTAATTAATATTGAATTTTAAAATATGGTTAATTATTTATATATTTATTGTTAGTTGTTTTTTAATATCTTTAATACTCTCAATTAATAAAAAAATATTTTAAGAACTAATAGATTGTTAAAATAGAAAAATTTGAAGTATAAAGATTAAAGTTTTCAACAACTTTGTTTGAATACAAATACTTTGAATAATAATATATTAGGACATCGTGGAAAGTTTTCGTGAAATGAATGCATAATTCTCACAGCAGTTCGAGCATAAGTAGAACGTCGATATCAATAACACTTAAATATGCCGAAAACAAATACCTACTATTTAGTTTTCATTAAAAAAAAAAGAGAGAGAAAAAGTGGACGGACGAAAGAAAGAGGATTTGTAGAGACAACTTATCAGATGAAGTGTGTGGTTGATATGCAGCTGGTCTTTCATTACCATCAGACTTCCGCTGTTATCATAAATGTGTACGTTTATGTGTATTAAACAATCACTTTTTATGTTAATCTAGAAAAATTTATTGTTAAAAAAATTTATTAATATCTGCAAAAATCTCATCTTATATATAAGATTTTTCATTATTTATGAGAACTTGCCATTCACAATTAGAAATCTTATTGCGAAAGTTTCTGAAATTCATTTAATAGC